AGCTCTAAGAGCTTGGTATGAAGAAATCAACTCTTATTTCACTAAGGTTGGTTTTCAAAGAAGTCTCAGTGAAGCAACTTTATATGTAAAGATTGCTAAAAGTGGAGTACTCATTGTTTCACTATATGTGGATGATATCATCTACACTGGGAGTTCACAAGAATTGATGATGGAGTTCAAAACTGAGATGATGAGACAATATGAAATGACTGATCTTGGGTTGTTACATCATTTCTTGGGTTTATGTGCGATACAAACTGACACTTGCATTTTCTTCCACCAGAAGAAATATGCAAAGACACTACTGGATAAATTCGATCTCAAAGATTGCAAATCAGTTGCTACTCCTCTTGCAATAAATGAAAAGTTATCTACGACAGATAGATGTGAACAAGCTGATGAAAGCTTATATAGGCAGATAGTTGGAAGTCTGCTATATTTGACTGCTACAAGGCTGGACATCATGTTTGCAGCAAGTTTGGTAGCTAGATTTATGCATGGTCCTACCATAAAGCATATGAGAACTGCCAAGAGAGTACTTCGGTACATTCAAGGTACACTTGATTATGGTATATCATATGAGAAGAGGAAATAAGCAATGCTCATTGGCTACTGTGATAGTGATTGGTTAGGGAGTGAGGATGACATGAAAAACACGTCTGCATATGCATTTAACCTTAGATCAGGTGTATTTTCTTAGGCATCAGTCAAGCAAAGTAACGTTGCACTATCCACTGCAGAGGTTGAATATGTTAGTGCAGCAGAAGCCATTGCATAGGCAATATGGTTGAGATTTGTTCTCTCAGATTTTGGTGAAAAACAGGATGATGCTACACCAATTCTATGCGATAATACCTCAGCTACAACCATAACCAGGAATCCTATGAACCATCATAAGACAAGGCATATAAACAGGAGATTTCATTTCATCTGAGATGCTTTGCAAGATGGAGAGATCAATTTATTATACTGCAAAACTTCAGAGCAAACTGTAGATATTTTTACCAAGGCATTGGCCTGGGATCGGTTTGAATACCTGAGAAGAAAGCTTGGAGTAATCTCAGCTAAACACTTAGAAGAAAGTGTTGAAATATAAGTATTCTAGTTGAATACACTTGTATTTAGTTTCAGTTTACATATTTAAATGTGAGCCATTGAATTACATTCCAATTAGATTGCTAAGATGTAATCTTAGAGTTAATGACTTGTGTTGACACATGTAAGTATTTTATAGGGTAGATTGTATGAATGGTTGGATTTGAGTTTTGTATCATAGCGAAAGAATCTCTCTCTCTCTCTCTAACGGTAATATACCTCTCGCACATTTTGTGTGAGGTGTGAATGAATGAAAGCAACTTTCTGTAAGAACCTTCTCTTTGCAACTCTCTGAGCATTTTTTTTTACAATTCATTCCTTACCACAGATATCATAGTCTCTGAGATTCTAACATAAAATTCAAAGGTAGATATAATTATATAAGAAAATAGTTCTTTTGAAACCCAATACGTAACCATCTAAAGTGGTTTCAGCACAAAGATGAGTAAAATAGAAAGCAAATTGAGAGAAGAATGAAGAGCCAAAGTAGGCTACTTGAAACAAACTTAATATAAATTGTGTTTTGATCCTGGACATATCTAGTTTCAAAACATATAATATTTGCTCAAAAGAAAGCCATAAGAACCTGGAAATCAAGAGCCAAATAGGCTACTTGAAACATAGTTTTTCTTTGCAGAAAAATTAGTTTTTTGCAACTCATATGACAGCTTGTTTCTAATTCCATGTAGTCCAGTGATTATGTAATAAATAAATTAAAGAATCTGTTAATTTTGTAAATTTGCATTCTATAAATTGGAAAATAGTTGTATGAAAATTTGATGAAGCAAGCAGGAAGAATTATCAGAAAACTTATAGAGAGAGTTCATTGCTCTCAGTGCATTGGATTGTATTGAATCATCACTCACTCACACAAGAAGTGTGAAGGAATACACAGAAAATTTAACCACTAAGCTTCAAATGGTTCACATGAGCCTATGAGATAACAAACCGTATTAAGCAGCACATGCTTCACTTAAACCTTCTAACACAAAAGATATGTGGCACAACACAAGTCATTAAGATGTTTTAGTCTCAGCCGTGCATTGTAGCTAAGTGTTCATGCTATAACTAAAACTAAGAGAGTAAATTGTAGCAATAATCCCTCAACTTTAATCAAATTGGAGCAATGGTCCCTCAATTAAAAATCTATTACCATTGATCCCTTAACTTATTAAAATGTGTAGTTATGGTCTTTTTCATCAACTTCGTTAGAATTTTGTTAAAATAAGTTACGTTGGAATGATTATTGTTACAATAGGGTCTTTCAACTCATCAAAATGTGTAGCTATAGTTATTTTCAACTTCGTCAGAATTTTGTCAAAATGAGTTATGTTGGAAGGACTATTGCTACAATTGGTTAAAGTTGATGGACTATTGCTCTAATTGGGTTAAAGTTGATGGACCATTTTTCCAGTTGGATCAAAGTTAAGGGACCAATGGTAGTGAATTTTTAGTTGAGGGACCATAGTTGCACGTTTTAATGAGTTGAGGAACCAATGATAATAGATTTTTAGTTGAGAAATCATTGCTCCAACTAATGAAGTTAAGAGACCATTGCTACAATTTACTCTAACTAAAAACAAAACACTAAAAGCTTTACATAAAACTTGACATCCAAGCAATCTTCATCTCTGCAACAAGCTTAATCTCTAACAGAATCAAAACAGAAAGACCCATTGGTAGACCTGTAAACGGGTCGGGTTTATTGGGTTTGAGTCGGTTTCAACCCGACCTGTTAAGTTAACAGGTCATCCGAACCTAACCCGTTAAGCTAACGGGTCACCCGTTTCACCCGTTAACAATTATTATTATTATTTTTCATAGAGTTTATTTTTTGTTATTAAGACTTGACTGAAATTACTAAAATATTATCAACTAACAGGTGCTAAAGGATCTAACAAGTTGATCCAAAGTGACCCGTTAACGACCCGATCCATTAAGCATTTCTCCAAATGCTAATATTAATGGGTTGGATCGGGTCCAAAATGCTAGATCTACCCATTGGTTTCTCTCCAAGTTCTGCCTTCTGCGAACACAAAACTTTACGCCATATGATAACAAACACGAAATCATGTTTTTTGTCCTTCATGATTCAGACCCACATGGCTTACCACCTTCTTTTTTATCCTTCATGCCCTAATTCCTTCTTTTGTCCTCTCTCCCCTATCCGATTGTTCCCAATCTCCAATTCAGCCTCGTATTCTTTGAAATCGAGAAGCAAAAACCTGCAATAGCGGGTGAATTTCACAAACCCATTGAGCACTGAAACGGTGGGCTCACGTCACCTTCGTGATTCACAATCTGTTCATCCAAAAAGATTTGCGCTGGAAGATGACGGCCTCTTTGGAGCGAAGGGAGTAGTGCCAGGAGGAGGTGGCGGAGGGGGTGGAAAGGCGGCGGCGGGGGAGGAAGTTGGAGGTGGCGACCCACAAGGCAGTGTTCGAAGAAGGGGGTCTGGGTCCTCTGACGAGAATACTCGAATCTGGGTCGAACTGAAAGAGATGGCACCATTGTAATCTCTGAAGCACTGCGCAACTCGAATTGCGAAAGGAATGGCACCCTTGAAATCTCTGAAGGCAGAGAACCCAGTGGATTCAAGTATAAGAAGTAGGAGAATCATTTTCTCATTGGTTAATCACGGCAAGTAAATTCTCAAACTTTTTGTTTCTGGGTTTTGCCCTTTGCAATCTGCAATGTCAGGATTCCGAGATGGCACCCTAAAATTTCGGTGGATGAGAAATTTGAAAAACCTATTGGGGAGGGGTTTCAGTTGAACCTTTTGATTCTGCAATTGAGCTATATTGCAGCTTATGCATGTGAGCTTCTGAAAATGGAGGGACGGGGTTGGAGGCTTTGAAAAACGTGGAGGCTGGGGCGAGAGCGTTAGAAGAAATTCCAGATGGATTCTCCTGCACCAATTGGGAGCATTTTGCTGTATCAGGAGACATGTCAGGGTTTTAAGGATTCAGATTAAACGGAAAGTTCAAAAAAAAAAAAAAGAAAAAAAAAAAGAAAGGGATTTGAGGGTATAGATGGGCTTGACGAGGGTGGAATTAAGGGCAGATCTAAAAGACGTTAGGTGCTAGTTGGATGGCGGATTGAGACCTAGTGTCTAAGCATGAGCCTATGTAGATTAAAAGAATTCAAGTAAATTTATTATAGATTGTATAAATAGTGTCTATTTATACTTAAAAAATACATAATTGTATTGGGATGTATAAATTGCAAAATAAAATGACATATAGATATAAAGTATTAGAACATATTGAAAACAGGAGGAACAAGTATATAATGAGTGTTTATCCAAGTATTCCACAATTTTCTTACATTTTATTGACAAAATAAAATGCAATATGAAAGTTATTGATTTTCTGTCCAAGTGAGAGTCGAGACCCAGACAGGTTTAGACGAGCTAGGCAGGCGCTTAGGCAAGCTATGCGGATGCCTAAGCAGGTCTAGGGGCACTTTTTTAATTTTCAAATACTTATGGATTAATCGGAGTGGTAACTAATCGCCTAGCGACTATGTGGGTTCTAGGCAATGCTAGACAAAGATTTTTAGAACAACGCAACAGATTTTACCTTCCTCAAGCTGCTAGATATGTTTTTTAATTTTATAATGTCTACGTGGGGCCACATTGACATGTGGTGTCCAGTTATTGTTCATGTAGGCGCAACGTTGGGCATTAACAAAGGTTCTAAAGAAAAGCCTAACAAAAAGTATGACAATGTCCTACAATTCTCATTTAAATATGAGACTCAGATGGAAAAAAACCTGATGTATGAAAATTTAAAACCACGATACTTTATAGTAGTAAAGTGGGAATTACCCTTTATCTAATTACTTCTTACCATTTGAATTATAAAAACAAATAAAATTAACAATCTTGTAGCTTTATGAAACCAAAACCAACAATCATATCAATTTCAAACACACAACAAAGCCAACATACATAGGATCACAGTATGAAGCGAAAATGAGCAACATACTGGTTTATTTTTTTATTTTTTATTTTTTGAACACCACGTACTGGTTTATTAAGACCACATGCTTCTAGTATTTTCCTAGAAGCACATTGTTGACCACAAAATCCAAGTTTTTTATTGAAGAACCGTGGGGACCAGTGGCTTCTTCTGCTAACTTTTTCCACTCATTAGCCTTCCTTTTCATTTTCTTACCCTTCTCTCCTTCCATCAACTCTCTAACAAGCTTCTCCACTTCATCTCTCTTCACATCATTATCAATCTCCATCCCAGTCCCCAAACCATTGCAAGTATACCAACAATTTGTTTGCTGCTCCGCAAAGAACGGCCATGAGAGCATAGGCACTCCAGCTGTCACGCTCTCAATGGTTGAATTCCAACCGCTGTGTGTCAAAAACCCTCCAACTGATGGGTGGTTAAGTACTTCCTCTTGAGGACACCAACCTGCTATTAGACATCTTTCTTTGGTTTCGGCGACAAACTCAGGTGGCAAAATTGCTGATTCGCCGATGACCAAATCCGGCCTAATTACCCACAAGAAGTGATGCTTACTATTTGCAAGTCCCCAACCAAACTCCACAAGATGCTCTGGTGTCATGACCACCACACTCCCAAAGTTCACATAAACAACCGAGTTTGGTGCCTTGGTGTCGAGCCATGGAATGCACTCGGCTTCTTCTTTCCATAGGCTGTATCCCACAGACTTCAAAGGGTCTTCTTCTATTTGATTAATAAGCAACTGAAGAGGGCCAATGGGGTAGAGATGTGGAATCATGGATGAGATAGCATCCAAAATATCCTGCTCCAACGCTTCGAAAGTATGAATTACAACTGCCGAAGCTTTATGTGCTCTCTCAGTTGCTTCACTTGTTAAGGAAAACGCACTGTCATTCGGATTTGTGGTTCGTAGAAAGGTTGGAAGATCCCTTAGACGGATATCTTTCATTCCCGGTATCCAATCTATGACGGTGTCTAAGTAGCCATTGGATAGATACCTCTCATCTGCAACATTAAAAACGGTGTAAGTTCAGTTAAGTAAAAAAAAATGATAAACTAATTAGTTCTTCGTTTTCTTACACTTCCCCTCTACCTTTTAGTGGTGTAAATCCTTTTTCGGCAAGAGCACGATAATGCTTGAATCCCATGAAGCCACAAGCAGCAGTAGGAAAGAACAACACAATAGGAAGTCCAAGTTCTTCAGCAGCTGTGATTGAGAAGCTCATAAAACCATCTGAGACAATGCTGGTCACAGGAGGGGTATTGTTGGAAGCTGCAACAGCATTTAGTTTGGCGAGGAGACTTTGAAATGGAGCCAATAAATTGTTTTGAATGGCATCACAGATATCATAGATGTCTTGGGTTGAATCTGCTGAATCCGAAGGTGGCAGGCCATCGGGGATAGTTTCGAAATGGAAGTCCTTGAAGCCGTCTAAGGTATTGGGGCCTAAAGATTTGAGAAAGCGTCTGTGGTTGTATTCGGTGTTGACGAAGGTGATACGAATACCTCTGTGGTGTAGGAGCTTTGCAAATTTGAGGAGAGGCTTTATGTGGCCTTGATATGGGAATGGGAGGCATACAGCATGAGGCTTATGATTTGCAGCTACCTCCATTGAACCCATTACTATTCCTCAATCTTTTTTGCACTCGAAGTAATAGGCAGGTTGGAGATGTCTCTGCTCGTACTACTTAGCATCTATTTATGGAAAATGCTTGGGGAATCAACAACAATAACATTGGGTAAAATTACATTTTACCTCCTCAGGTTTGTGGTTGATTTTAATTCCTTACAACATTTTTAAAATATTTCAATTTCATATATTTATTTATCATTTTATTTCGATTTCATACATCTGTTAAATCCGTTAAGTAAACCATTAAATGATCATGTGGTGATGACATGGCTGCCAAATTGGTCATGTGGGGGTGGGGATGGGGTGTGCTCAGGGAAGAAGATGGGTTTCTTAAGAGCATTCCTGTATCCGACCATATCCATCAAGTATCTTATTTGATACTGCATTGGATATGGGATACTGTACTTGATTGACATGTCCATGCATCCATCGTAGACGATAACACAACGATGATATAATAATGACTGATCATGTCTGCAAGATTGCAACCAAAATGTCAAAATATGTTTATTGTAGCTAATTGCCAAAAATACTTTGGCTCCTTCCATTTCAAGGTGATACTAACTTTTAATTTATTTTTTCGGGTAATTACATACCACCTTAATTTTGGTTTACATAACAAACTCATACTTTATCATTTCATCATTGCAATACCATATATTGATTTACGAATTTGTAGCAATAATAGACCTCCGTTAGTCAATCTGTGAAATTGACCGTTAAGTGATAACGTGATAAATGTAGAGTTTATATTTTTTGCTAACATGACAGTTAGTACTCAATTGTGTCATGTAAATAAATAAATAAATAAATTTTAAAATAAATAAATTAAAAAGAGTGGGCCCCACCCACACATTGAATTCACAATCCAGCGTCTGCCCCGAACAGCCCTCCGCCCTCGTCGAACTCCCCGTCTTCGTCTCCGACCTCCACATTCACTAGCATTTAAATAAACCCTGTATCTAATACAACACGTGCAAAACTTAATCTATCGTTACAATTTTATGTGATCAATACAGAAAATCTATATAAAAATGCATGGCACATGATCATAGTTATATTATTTTTAGGATACAATTAATTAATTAGTTCAGTAGAAGAGCTGCCCATTTGACTTTGACAAAGACACAATATATATCAATGTAATTCCCCGGAATCCTCCACTCAAAAACCACTTAAAATATAAAGGGCATGGCATCTCATAATGTATTATAATTCCTAGAAAATCAGGAGGAAGATTTCACTTGGACGCTTGTCACCGTTTATTTAGACAAAGTCACTATTTTGACAAAGTCACAAAGACTAATAATACACATACAAAGAAACAGGTAGTATGATGAAAGAGATTTTCATTTTTCTTTTAAAATGAGAATTAGTTGGGGGTTTACATAACATTGAATTTTAACGATTTTTATTTTTTATTTTTTAAGTTGCACTTTATAGATTATCTTTACAAAATATTAGCTAAATCGAAAATATTTGGGTAAAGAAATTGACGAATATTTTGTTCTATAGAAAACAATGAAATTTTATCGTAATAATTAAATAGGCAAATAATTTAGGATAAAATTGAATTTTTACAAAGATGATCTATGAATTGAGATTTATAAAATAAACTATTCAAATCGTTGAAGTTCGATATAAAATGAGTCTCACAACTAATCTCTTTTAAATAAAAATAAAATCTCTTCTCTTAACCAGACACGTTTCTTTATATATGTGTTATTAGTCTTTGTGACTTGGTCCAAATAAACGGTCACAAGTGTCCAAGTGAAATCTTCCTCGTGATTTTCCAGGAATTATAATACATCATGACATGCCATGGCTTTTATTTTTTAAGTGGGTTTTCAGTAGACGAGCATGTGTGATCGCATTGATATATTTTTTGTCTTTGTCAAATGGCCGGGTGTTCTACTAAACTAATTAATTAACTATATCCTAAAAATAATGTAAGTATGCTCATGTGCCATGCATTTTTATATACACAAAATTGTATTGACAGAGTAATTTTGCATGTGATGTATTAGATCCAGGGTTTAATTAAATTCTGTAATCGCTGTGCAGATATATATGATTCTGTTGTTAATTTTAGATTAATTGTTAGTCTTTTAAATGACGAAGTTATAAAATCTTAAATTATGGGATTTGTAGTTCGAAAGTTTGTCGGTAGATCCCTTAAACGAATATCATTCATTCCTGGAATCCAATCTATTACCTTGTCCAAGAAGCCATTTGTCAAACAGCTCTCATCTACATATATAATTAACACTCAATTAAGAGTAATTAAATGAAATGAAACATCATACGTTTATAAACAAGAGATTTATTAATAGGACGAGTGATGGGCATGGGCTCTCCCAGAGTGTGTAGGACCGTACGTTTTTCGTTCTACACCTAATCCGACGAGCTAATATGGTTCAATACACTATTTTAATATTTTGTTAAAAAAAAAGGTTTAATCAATTAAATTGTGCAATTAACTTATTCAGATTATTTTTTTCACTACCTTTGAGTGGTGCAATACCCTTTTACACCAAAGTAGGGTATTGTTTATAGCCCATGAAACTGCTTGCAGAAATGGTAAAGAAGAGTACCAAAGGGAGTCCAAATTCTTCAGCAGCTGTGATTGTAAATGGCATGAAACCATCTGAGAAAATGCAAGTCACTGGAGGACTAACATTATTGATCGAAATCACCGCGTCATTGAGTTTTATGAGGAGGTCTCAAAACGGAGGCCAAAGAGACGTCTTGGGTGGCATCTTGGTTGGAGTCTGGTGGAAGGCCGTCTGGAATGGTTTCGAATCGAAAATCAGGCAAGCCATCGAGGGAGTAGGGTCCAAGGCATTTTAGAAAGCGGTTGTGGTTGAACTCTGTGTTGACAAAGGTTATATGAAAACCTCTATGGTGGAGTAGCTTTGAAAATTTAAGCATTGCCTTTATATGGCTTTGAGCTGGTGCTGGAATACAAACAGCATGCCTTGGAATCCATCATAGACTGTGCTTAGGCGTTTGTGCTTGCACTAAGCACAAATATATATAATATATGTATATATGTGCAGATTAGTACTGTTCCGAAAAGTAGACACAACTAAAGTCAAATTGAATACGTGCTCCTTTAAGACTTGCAGGTTACGCAAAAATTAATCTTGGGCGACAAGATAATTGACTAATTGTCTTTTGTTTCATAACGAAGGCATTCAGTGCAATCAAATTAGGAACCTTAAGGGTGTGTTTGTTTCATATCTCATTTTTAAGAAATTTCAATGTTATACGTCATTTACGAATTTTTTACATTTTCATACCTTCCGTCAGTTTTCTATCAATTCTTCCATTAAATAATGATGTGACTTGAGACGGGACTCACTCTCTATTAAAAATTAATAAATTAATTAAATATTAAAAAACTAAAAAAATCATTTTTAATATTTTTTTTTTGCATGGCGGACCCACCCCTCACCCTTTCTTCCCCCTCTCGTCTTCACCAAACCCAAAATCAACCAGATACCATCCCAAACCCAGATCCCACTCCCTGCTATCGTTCTCCGCCACATCCCTCAATGCCCACTCCTCCCTCACCTCCCTCAACGCACCCACTCCTCCCTCACATCCCTTTAGGTACTGTTTGGTAAGTGGGACGGGACGGAATAGAGTGGGACAAGGCGTTCCGTCCCACGTTTGGTGCGCCTAAAACGGGTGGAACGAGCTGTTCCACGGGACGAGTTTTGGGTGAATTTTCGTTCCACCTCACCCCCCTGGAACGACTCGTTCCACATCCGTGTAATACAAAATTATAACCTCTCCGTCTCCTTCTTCTTCCTCCTTGTTTCCATCCGAGGGCATCTTTGTTCCCGCTCCGTTCCGTTCCGTCCTGTCCCGTCCCATTCCTTTCCGTCCTGTCTCGTCCCATTCCGTTCCGTTCCGTCCCGTCCCGTCTGCATACCAAATGATACCTAGCGCACCCACTCCTCCCTTACCTCCTTCTACGCCCTCTCTCTGCTGCCACTTTCCGCCATATCCAACAAATCCGCCAAAATCCTTACGCCGGAAACCCTCTGAAATGCTTCCTCGCTCTCCTTGTACCCGACCACCTGCACAATCACCGTCGTGGTGTCTTTTGTGTTGTACTGAAGCAGAGAGATTTGAGGGTTTTGAGGGGCAGAGGAAGAAGGCAGAAATGGTAGTGGAGCAGAAAGAGGGCTGATTGACCCGATTTGGTGAAGGCAAAGTCGGAATCAGATAGGAAGTCGGTTGATGGCGGTGTGGAGGGAGGGAGGGAGTCGAGCGATGGCGTGGCATGGGTAAGGTGGGTGAGTGACAGCTGAAGTTGGTCAGCAAAGTCGGAGAAGGGCGGGGGAGGACGAAGAGACTGGCGGTAGTGATCGACACAGAGGGTACGGGATGGGTGGGATCTGGGTTTGGGGAAGATGAGATGGGTGGGTTTTGGGTTTGGAGAAGATGGGATGGGTGGGATTTGGGTTTGGGTGGGATAAGGGTGGGTCCCCCATGGAAAAAAAATATTAAAAATGATTTTTTTTTTTTTAGTTTTTAAATATTTAATTAATTTCAAGTCACGTCACTATTTAACAGAAAACTAACGGAATGTATGAAATTGTAAAAAAATTGTAGATGAGGTATGACATTGAAATTTTTTTAAAGATGAGGTATGAAATTGTGATTGATCCAATAATTGAGGTAATTTTATGTAATTTACCCTAAACAAAATTAGACATAGTAGCCAGTAGAAAGTTGTTACTTTTAATTTGAATTGAGAAATGTCAAAGACTACAAGACAAGGTTTTGAAGATCCACATTCAACAAGAAATTTTTTAGTGTGATCGGTACATAGGATAGTACATTACGTGTTACTATATAAATGGTGAGATACGTGTATTAAAAAATTAATAACTTAAAAAATAATTTTTTTTACCACTTATATAAAAACACGTAATGTACCATTCATATTGTGATCACAGTGAAAATTCTCTCCACATTCCACATCATTACGAGGTAAAATTTATATTTATCTAATAGATATGACAACCAATGGATTTCAAAGTTTACTTTTATTAAAAACAGAGAGAGAAAGCAAGGAGAGAAATAATTGAGGCTTATTCTGTCATTTTGTGGAGATATTTTTCAGTTTCAGTACAACTTTCAATGGATAATATGTGCGTGCGTTACATCGTAGTGCATATATGCCTAACAATGCGCGTATTATTTGATGACTATATGAGACTCGAGTAGAAGCGTGGGTGTAAGTGAAACCTTAACAAGTGTTATAAATAACTTATTGTATGGTATTGAAACACAATTATTTAATTTGATAATTTTTAATAATTATTTCATGTCGCATTCATATAATAAATAGCTTTATATCACAATCTTCTAAAATATTACGACCTCAT